ACTGAATGATTTAACGAATGATTTTTTTAAAATAAACTTTTAATTTTAGAATAGTTTTAGATTATGGAAGAGTTGTGACAATAGTATAGAGAACTCCCATATACCCCACACTAGTTTCCTCTGTCGTTAATATCTGACAGTAGGTGCATATGTCACAATTACAGAATGATATTGATATATTATCACTAACTAAAGGCCTCACTTTATTCAGATTTCCTTAGTTTTTACCTAATGTTCTTGTTCTGTTCCAGGATCCCATCCAGGATGCTACCTTTCATTTAATTGTCACATCTCTTTAGGCTCCTCCTGGCTGTGACAGCTTCTCAGACTTTCCTTGTCTGTTGACAACCTTGACAGTTTTGAGGTGCACTGGTCAGGTATTTTGTAGAATGTTCCTGAACTGGGATTTGTTTGATGTTTTCCTTAAGATGAGACTGTGGTTATAGGTTTTGGGGAGGAAGATAAAGTGTCATTCTCATCACATCACAGCAACGGCACATATTAACACCACGACTTATCACTGTTGATGTTGACCTTGATCACCTGGCTGAGGAAGTGTTTGTCACATGTCTCCACTGCAAAATTACTCTCTTTCCCCCTTTTCATACTGTCCTCTTTGGAAGGCAGTCACTATGTGCAGCTCACACCTAAGGAGTGGGAGTTACGCTCCACCTCCCTGAGGGGGGAATACCCACATAAATTATTTGGAATTCTTCTGCATGGGGAGATGTGTCTCTCATGTTCGTTTATTTCTTTAGTTGTTCATATTTGCATCAGTATGGACTCGTAATATTTACGTTACACTTCGGGTTATAATCCAACGCTACATTATTTTGCTGCTCAAATTGTTCCAGTTGTGACCCCTGGGAGTTCCCTCAGTTGGCTCCTGACACTCCCATCATTTTCTTTGTTTTTTGAGCATTTCCTTACTTTCTGGTGCTACAAGATGCTCCAGGCTTATCTTGTCTATTTCCTGCCCCAGTCTTAGAATCAACCATTTCTCCAAGGAGTCATGGTTCTTTTTATTGGAGAATGGTATTAGATACAAAGATCTGGGCACTGGGTGTGCTTGTAACAACTAGTGCTGGGATGTTCTTGTTTCTAGGCCCTCTCAGCCGTCAGAGCCAGGAAATAAATGTAGTATATGGGTTAGTAAACATACATACCTATATATGTCTATAAATATTTCTATATGTATCCATCTGTACCTATATTACGCTAAACATGAGTTCATCCTGATGTCCCTAATTCTAATCCATGACCACCTGGAACATTCCAGCCTTAATGAATCCTTTTTAACAGTATTTTGTGCTAGGTACAGTTCCAAGCTGTTTACCATGAAAGATTACCCTCACTTAATCCTCAAGACAACTTTTATGGCTAAATACTATAGCCTACATTTACCAGATGAAGAAATTGAGGCACCGAAAGATGAAGTCTCTTACCTAAACTCACACAGTAAGTGGTGAGGCCAGCATATAAGCCTCTGTCTTGAGATTCCATGCCCACTAAGTGACAGAGAACCACCATCCCCACATTTTCCTAAGACTTTGCAGAAACTTCAGTTCTGAGCAATTTAAGATGCGGATGTAATTCTCAGCTCTCACCAACAATTGTTCTGCTCAAACCTTACCTCTCCAATACTTCCTCACCCCCTTCCCAGGGTTCTCTCTCCATCCGACATGCTAACTAGATGACAAGTTGCCAAGTTACAACCCGACTTTACAGCACAAGAAAAGGGGTGCTGGAATAATGCAAGGATCAGCTCCATCTGACCCCGTGACTTTTCAACCTCCGGCTAACCCCTGCTGTGTATTATCTTGGGTTTTGGTGACTTGGTAGTAATTAACTCTGAACAAGCAGCTCTGCTTTCATGGAGTTAAAAAAAGAACAGTATTTTTTTCCTTGTTAATTAAATCATCTGCAAAGAAGATAATGCGCAGCCCACACTTGTATCTTCTGAAATATCAAAGGCCTGATGAGTAAGTCTTATGTTCAATCTCAGGCTTTCTCTCCAGATTCTTAGAAGTGACAGGGACCTGGGGGTAGGGAGCTTCCAGGTATTTACCAATATTCGCTTCCTTAGACATTCATTCATTCATTTTGGGTGATCTAGAGAGAGGTAACCTGGATCAAGCACAAAACATACCTGGGAATTTTGACTCAATCAACCTACTGAATTAGAAACATTAGCAACGAGCAGACAGGAAGAAAGAGAATCCTTCAGACCAGGTTGCAAACCACTTTTTGAAAAGCCCACAGCCCCCCCGCCCCCGTCCCTGTGTTCTGTTTAGTGAATTTTTCCTGACAGTGGTGGTTTTACTTGCCAGAACCACAACAAAGGGGGTCCTTGAGTTTCCCTGGGAGTGTTTCCTCAGACCTGCACAAAGGTGTTATTGTTGCTGGCTCACTGGGTGCCCAGCACCTGAGCCAGATCAAAGGCGCTTTCTGATGCCAGCACGACCGCAGTCTCGCCCTTAGCACAGAACATGAAAGCTGGTGAGTAATCCCCTGGCCCAGAAGGTCCCTTCCCACTCCCAAGTACAAAGCGGGGTGGGGGTGGGGATTTATTTCCAGCACAACAGGACCATAATAAACTGGCATTTTATGGCCCTCATTCATTGCAACTGCAGCTGCCCATCAAACTCGTTCAAGCCCACACAGTTGGTTCCTGTGGGCCTTTTCTATCACTAGGAGAGTGTAAGGAGAGTGTAATACAAATCCCCACCATCTCTGAGAGTCTACTATGTACTAGGTATGCATGTATGTAATTCACGTTATCCAGCGACCCTGTGAGAGTGGCATCATCACCCCCAATGTGATGGATGAAGACTCTAAGGCTCAGAGAAGTTAAGTAGCTTGCCTCAGGTCACACGGCCAAAAAGCGCACGAACAGATGTTCAAACCCACATCTGGATGACTCTGAAGCCCGTGCTGTCTCCATTCCCCTATGGAGACATTATAATCATGCACAACACAGTGAGGCATCGAGGAGGATGCGCTTGGTAATCAGACAGAGCTAGATCTGAGTTCTAGATCCAGCTTAACAGCTTTGTGACCTTGGGAAAAGCACTGGACTTTTCCAGGCCTAAGGATGCCTCATTTGTCAAATGGCTACTGTAGGAAAATGCAGTATCATCCCCATTAAGAGACGAGGGGACTGAGAAGCGGGGATGTCACAGAGTCACTCACATTCATTTGGATTTCCTTCTGCTCAGAAATCTGAATTGAGTGGAGTAATAGTGCCTGAAATTCAGACTTCACAGGAGAAACCAGATTAGCTGTGTCCCTCTGGAAACAGTAGATGATTTAAATAGGTTGAAATCAGTGTTCAGTTAAGACAAGCTAACCAGTGTAGACTCACATCAAGGGAAGTAGGCTGGCTGCCCGGGTGGGCGCCCCCTGTGAGGTGGCCCTAGGCCTCTGGTGATCTCTCCCTTTCATGACAGCTGAGCCCCACAACAGAGATGCTGAGGGGAAGAAAGAGGCTGGGATTTTTAAATTTAAAGAAGTTCCATTTGAGACTTTGCCCAGAGAAACAAATAAAAGGAAAACTTTTTTGGGGGGGAGGGGGGATCAAGGAAATCTGTGTCCTCAAAGTCTAGCACACATGTCCCCTCAGGAAGATGCCCTAACCCTGGACCCCTCCCAGGCAGAGTCAGTCACTGTCTCCTTTCTGCTCAACAACACCAGTAGTAGTGACCAGGAGCTACCCTGTGAAGCGCTTGCTTTCTGTGGAGCCCATTACACAACCTCATCTCACCCTCACAACATGCTGAGCCGTGTACGGTGACGCTCCACATCTGGTAGACAGGACTCTGAGGCTCAGAGGGCTTAAGTGCCTTGCCCGAGGGGCCATACTTAGTAAGTGGAGGAACTGGGATTGGAAACCAATAGGGCTGGCTCCACCATCGCCCTGAAGCGGGAAGCTGCATGTGAGAACATCTTGCGCAATGCCTGGCACAGAACAGATGCTCAGGGTCACAAGTTCGATCTGAATCTATATTTTGGGGCCTTGTGTTCTATTATAATACTTGTTATAATTCTATCTCATCAATGGGAGGCCCTATGTCATCCTTATGTCCCCAAGGTTTAGCACAGCTCCAGACACAAGAACAGGGGATCAGTAAAGATGTATCAATATTTACTCAACCAAAATACTTAACGGTAAAAAAGGCTCATCACACAGGATTCCCTCCACAGCCGCAGTGACGCTGTTCTGGAGTGTACCCTCCTCTAACCCTTGCTCATCTCCCCACTCCACCCCCAGTTATGTTCCTCCTCCTCCCCCCGCCCCCGTCTTCCCTCTATTTTACTCATCTGGGAAGAATCCAAGGAGTCGTCCATCTAAGTTTAACAGAGTAATGACTTTTAAATAAAAATACGGTAGAAATGGGTACTTATCGAAATGGAATGCTTTCAGACTCATGCATTTAAAGAAGATATAAATTTTAGGGCAGGCACTAAATTTTAACTGCAATCTTGGAGAAAGCCTTTCCACTAATTCATGGAGAAAAATTAACAAAGTGAAAATTGCTTATCAGTGTTCTTTTGAAGTCACGATATGCAGCCTAATTCTATAGATCATCAGGCTGCTCCCAGGGAGATGGATTTATATGGATTGAGAGAGAGCTCAGCGGCCAAGGAAAACAGACACCCCTCTACAGAGAAGACTCAGCTGCCCATTAGAGACAGATCAGTCTGGGAGTGAGGCATTGCCATCTTTGGACCCGATTTTATCCCTCATGCTGGGCTCCCCAGCCAGGGTGATGTCAAAAGCAGATGTAACCCCTTTCACACTTTTTTAAGAATTTGGCCCCTGGAAAAAGATCTGGCAAATCTAAGCAAGGCTATTGGAGGGAGGGCTGGGCTTCCAGCTGGACAAGGCACAGGGGTTAGGATGGGAAGGAGCTAAGGGATGAAGGCGCCGGCCGCTCGGCTCTCCTCCCGGGCTGCCCTCCCCCGAGTGCGGGGCCCCGCCCGCGGCCTGGCGAACTCACCCCCATGTGACAAGAAGATGTTCCACAGATAATGGCCAGCCGTGACGTCACTGGCTGTCCCTCACAGGCGAGGCCGTGCCCCCTCACATCTGCTCCAATCACTCCTGTGAGAAAGGAAAACAAAACACAATCCTCTTAAAAAAAAAAAAAAAAGGAGGAAAGAAAGCTAAAAACAAACATAAAACACTCTTTTTTATAGCTAAACAACACTGAGAAAGAGTTCCATGTGTAGGCCAGTCTCAAACAGAAACCAAAAGAGCACACTTGCCTGCCGCGAGGAAGCTAGGAAACGTGTGTGGTTTTTGCTTTACTCTAGTCAGTGTATAGCATCCAACATTGTAATAAGAATAGTAGCTGTAATTAGAATAATAAAAGCAGCAGGCATCAGGCATGACGCTAAACATTTACAGGTATAGTTTCATTTTATATCAAGCCTGTCAAGCGCATATCATTAATGCCACACACACCAGTGGAGACACGAAGCGCATGTAGAGGTTGAGTGACCTGTCCAAGGTCACACTGCTAGCAAGGACAGAGCTGGATGGAGTCTGGTTTAACACACCACATTTCAATCTCAAAGAAGGCAACAGAATTGTCAGATGATGAATGTGTTTGGCATCTCTAGGTCACCATTCCTACCGCCACTTACCCCACTTACCACAGAACTCTCAGTGTAAAGGCTGGGGGTGACTGACAGTGAGTTTCTGTTAAAAGAATGCCAGACAGCAGCGAGTTTCCCATAAATGGTATAAACTCAGGCTTCTCTACAGATTGCGTTCCTCGATACTTGCTGGGCAAGTGAGGTTACAATGTGACGGGAGAGTTAGAGAGACTGTTTAGAACCTAGAATTGTCCGTCATTTATTCAAATATCCAACAAGCACTTTCTATGGGATGTGATGTGGGAACCGCAAACATGCAACGACTCCTAACGACAGCACAGGCAGGAGGCGGCAGGCGCTCAGGGCAGGGCCTGAAGACCGGGAGGCAGGAGGGAACGGCTCCCGCTGACCTCCTCAGCTCCAAGCAACGCCACCCTTGCTCTCCGTCTCCAGGGCTCAATGCTCCTTCCCACTGCAAGGCCTCTGCGATGGCTCCTCCCTCCACCTGAAAGGCCGTTCCTCAGCCTCTTTGCCAGGCTCACTCCTATTTATTCCTAACTCAAATATTACTTCCTCAGAAGGCTTCCTTGATCCTCCAGGAGAGATGGAGCCTCCCTGTTCAATGTTCTCACGCACCCCTGGACTTCCCTAGCACACAAGACATGGGTCATTTAAAACAATCATACACCGTCTCCCTCTCCTAAAACCTGCAGGAAGCTGGCACTGCCTTACCCATGTGCCTAGCAGCCGGGAACCCAGCACAGTTGCTAGCACAGAGCCAGAACTGAGAGCACGAATACTTGGGGGTGCGAGGATGAAGAGACACCTCCCTGGCCTTGGGGTGCTCTCAGTCTGTTGGGAGGGAGAGAGAAACCTAAATGGAGCATTTCAAGGTGGCAGATTAGTACAGGACAGGAGGAGCTGCACAGGTGGGTGAACTTGTCCGTGGGGAGGTTTCCCAAGGAGGTGGGTCTACGCTGAGTTGGCAGGAGTTAGCTAGGTGAAAGGTGGGGTGGGAGTGTCTCCTTAGGCTACAGATCCCCAGATATTGAAGGCACTGGCTGCTCAGTAAGCGGGCCTGTCCAGAAGGAAGATCTGGAGGGCCACTGACAGGCCTCTTACATTCCAACAACTTTCTAGGTTTTTCCAACGCTTTTTCCAAATTCTACCTTTCCAAGCACAGCAACTTATGAACCTCTGCTCTTGTTCAGAGGCACAGCAGCAGGGGGAAGTAAGACTCTTTCAAACTTTCTCAGTGGCTAGCACAGTAGTCAGGTCCTGAGGTGACGGAGGTCTGGGACTGAGCCTGGAAGAGTCCTGGGCCTGAGGGCTTTCACCAAGGCTCCTGCTCTGCTCAGCACTGTGGGACTGCTCCAGCAGCCTGTGGTTTCCAGACTCCACGTCAGCCAAAGCCGGCCCAGCCAGGAGATCTGAGGGATGAGGGAAGTGGAAAGCCAGAGGAGGTCTCTCACTCTTCCCCAACGGCAGGCGGCTGCTGCTCCTCTACAACTGCAGCGCTGCTGACAGGTCTGCCGTGGCTCCGACATCCGCTGGTGTCCACTCCCTGTGGGTTCCAGTACCAACACCTCCTTCCTTTGTCCCTCCAGCTTAGGGGTAGCAATAGCTTTCATTTTGCTGATCTTGGCTTGCTTCACAGAGAACATAGCCCTTCTTAGCTCCTTCATCAATGGGTCACCATTTTTGTATATTACATTCCCTCTTTTTTATATACTTAGAGTGGTTTGTTTTTTTGGGTGGACCCTGAGTGAAAAAGGTCCCCATCTAGGGCATAAGGAATGGTGGCCAGGAAGAAACCTAGATATGAGCTCATTTTCACGGAGCTCTTTCTGCATGCTCTCGCCCTGCACGTCTCACTTTATTCTTACAACTACTGAATTTGACTGGTACTTTATCAGACTCATTTCACAGATGAGGAAACCAAAGCTGAGAAATGAGAAGTCACTTCACCAGAGCCTCACAGCCAGCTCACAAGAAGCAGGGCTGGGATTCACATCCAGATAGTCTGATTCCAAACTGCTGGTTCTTAGGCTTTTCTCCAGAATAAAATCTCAATAACCAGGTGGTTGACATTTACTTATCTGTATCTCTCCAAATATCAGGGTCTTAAGATACCGATCCTGAGAGCCTTGATAGAAAAAGGGTTACCCACTGCTGACCCACAGTGTCATAAGTAAGTTTAGGAATTCCTAACGATGACCCACATTTATTGGTTTCACATATATAATGCATAGTGTGTTATAATGAGAAAACAATGGAAGTTAGAGACAGAAAGACCTGCTATAAAATGAAGAAAATAACATTATCATATGGTTGTGCTGATACTGAAGAAATGTTTAAAAATAAAAGTTTGTTTAACGGTAGCTATGTTACCGTCACCACTACCACCATGACCCTCACCATCATCACCACCATCACCAACATCAACATCATCTGAACTGTTTTTCAAGAGACAGTTATATTCTTTCTTTCTAGCAAACATATCAAGCATCTAAGATAGGCTGGATACTGTGATAAGTTCTTTAAGTATTGTCTCTTTTAATCTTTACAACATCCATAAAACATAAATATTCTTTCTTCTCTTCAACAGATGCAAAGGATCAGAGTGTTTAAGTAACTTGCCCAGGGTCACACAGATATGAGAAGCAGTGCCGGGATTTGACCTTGTCCTGTCTGATTCCAAAGCCTGTTTCTTTCTATACTCCCTCACTTGACATTAGAATTGTCTTATATAAAGGAATATATTTGGAAGTGTCAGTTCACCATGGAACATCAGTAGGTGCCATGGGTTTAGAGTTAGAAAATCTGAATTTTGGCCCCGATTCTGCCACAAACTCTCTGCAAGTTTGAATTGTTCCCTCATGTCCACAACAAGAGAAATGAATTGCAAATGGAGTCTTTTCTCAGCCATTCTCAGTATACAATATACACAGTGCTTCTTCTAAAATATCAGGTAAAGTGTCTCCCTTCCTAAAAACAGGAGGGCAGAAAAAACGCCTCCCAAGATCCTACCTTCTTCTCAGGTGCAGAGGAGACTTAGACAACCTCAGGCCAGGCTTGCATAGCACCGGCGAGAGGCAGGTCTGGCCCAATGTCCCCTCAAGAGAGGTTCTCTACACTCTGCCCAGCGTCGACTCGATCGAAAGGCAGCGCACAGCTGACGCCCACTGTGAGACCCCAGGAACCCAAAAGCTGACATATCTCCTTTTTCCTTTGGCCGTGTGGGGCTTGGAGGGGCCATCCTGAGAAAGGAGGCCCAAAGCAAGGAAAGCACCGAAGGGCAGGAGGAGCCTCCTCCTTTCTGAATAACGCATCTCACAATCCACAGAGGAGCCACGTGCTGCACCTGTATGTCAGGGAACAGTTCATAAGGCGAGATGTGGACAAGCACAGCCCTCAGCACTGCTGGGGCCTGCATATGATGGTACAAGTGTCAGTTTATTCGGCATTCCTCAGAAAGTTTAAAGGGCAAAATTAACAGCTGAAGAAATAGGCACCAAAAAAAATCGTGAGTTATTCCACTACGTTTTCCCTGAAACTTGCACAATGCTCAGCTGATGGCAGCTGCTCAATAAATTTTTGCTGAATGAAAAAAAACAAATAGCAGAAAAACAAGCTTACTGAGTCAATGAATCAATTCAGGGCCTCTTATTTAATGACTCCTACTCCTCAACATACACAAGAACATAATTCATATCAAGGAACACGTTTTAAAACAAAATGAAAAAGGAAAATTGAAAATTTCATCAACAACTCTCTTATTTACCCTTCTGTGCTGTCTCCCTCCCTCTCCCCCATCCACCAACCATCCATCATTCCATTCAAACACTTATTGAATATCCAATATTTATGTAAAAGAAAAAAGAGACTTCACATATGATTAAGAGTAGGTTATCCTGTAATTTATCAAACCACACCTCTTTGAAAAATTTAAAGGGTTATATAGAACAAAAACATCCCAAGTTCTAGCATTTGTGTTATAATTATCTTATACTTAATAGCTACATAAAGTACTTTATAGCTTGCAAAGCATCCTCAAACACTGTACCCTTCATTTAGCTTTTAGAAAATTCTGTGATACGTGTTATTTTATTTCCAGATCCAAGTTAAAGAAACTGAATTTCATAGAGGTGAAGTAACTTAGTCAAGTTTATTTAGTTACTTAAAGGCAGAAGTAGGGCTCAAACTAGAATTTTCAGTCTCCTTAGTCTGAAGTTTTTTCCCTATGTTTGAAAAATGAAAAGGTCTGCTATGAACGTGTTGTCATCTTGTAAAAGATCCCCTTGAAATAACAGCCTCAGACCCCTTCTCTGAAGGAGAAAAAAAGATGAGAATGGTTTTGAACATTAGCCAGGATTGTAGCAACTTGAGACTCTCGATTCGGCCTTTTGGAAGAATGAACTGACTAATAAATTCCATCGCATGAGTTGCTTGACTAGGCTGAGAGGTTTATAGGGTCTCTGGGGAGGAGGCTCTCTGGAGACC